ACTGGAAGCCAGAAACAAGAGTACTTCACTCCAGAGCCACAGACCCTGAGGATGACACAGAAGAGAACCCAGGGGCCATCCGGGCAGCAGATGAAGTGGAAGAGGAAGCCTCCCACCACCTTCTCCACCATCAGAAAGGTAGAGGACCAGCACTTCTTTACCCCATCAGTTTTCATTAGCTAAATGACACTTGCCCAGGGCTCTCACTGACAAAAGAGGCTGGCTGAGGATTTGAAGGCTCCAGTAGTTAGAACATGAGCAATGTGAGAGGGTTCCCTCTTGGGTCACTAGGTATTAGTGAAGCCTCATGTTGAGCTTGGTTTGGGTGGACGGAGGACTTAGAGTGTGGCCAGGTTAGAAGGGCTCTTCAGAGAAGCAGCTCTTTCTATGAACAAAGACTTTTCTTCACCATGTAAGGTAGAAACAGATTCTACCTACACATGCTTTCGTTAAGGGTGAAGGAAGGAGCAGTGTCTCAATGCTCAGAGCTGGGTTTCTACTGAGTACCTCGATGTGCAGCCACATGTGAACACTGAAGGGCAAGAAAAGCCCATTCGAGTTGCAGGTGAACCTCTACATGTATCATTTTTAAGCAACATAAGGCAGGTTTAAATCCCAAACTTCTCATTTTCTGCAATCCTCTGCAAAATAATGCCCTCTCCCTTTTCAGCTGTGACATGGAAACCCGGTGAACCCTCAGCATTTCAGATTCCACTTTGTCTTCTTGTTACTAGGAGAACGCAGAGCAGCCTGTGCAGGAGTACAGGCGGGTCTTCTCCATTTATTATTTATTTTCTTTCTCTCTTTGAGTCTTCCAGAATTTCTGAATTTGTGAACTTAGGAAAACAGTTTTTCCAACATGGTGATGCTTTAAAATGTTGCCACATAAACAAAAGGTGAAAAAAGACCCAAATGCTGTTGTGCCATATCTAGGAGGACCACACCAAATGAGGAACATCAAGGGGAAAGAACAGGACTAGTACCATTCCAGATCTAGAACTAAAAGCTGGAAATACATAAAATGAAAGCAAAGAAGGTATTTCCATTGAGAACAGACAACTCTATGGGACCCACACTAGAAATGCAGGGCACAGTCTTAGGCTGTAGTTCGCTCCCATGCTTGGTTTTAAAGGCTTCATCAGTCTGAACTGCATGGAGCTTTTGAAAGCAACACAACAGGAACCAGGTTCCTTTGGAGGCTGGGCAGGCTCTGTGCTATCAGGAGTCTCAGTCGCTGGTTTGCAGGTTGGCTGCAATGCTTTTCACCAACCTAAGGTCACCTGCAGAAGGAATTGAGATTCCTTTGTACTAATGCAACTAATGAACTATGTGTGAAATGTCAGCTCTCCCGATGCAGCACGAGATGAACTCTGCAAGACTGCATTACTTTGAAGTAAGGGGAGGTTAATCTTGATGTTTCTCCATCCTTCTCCACAGCTGCACATTCAGAGGGGTCCAAAGGTGTGCCTACCTCCCCTGGCAGGAGCAGCCAACCTCCAAGGGCGTATGAAGCTCAAGAATAGGTAATTGGTAAAATAACTTCAGGGAAGTGGGCAAAAAAATCCTTCCTGCCCAGTGTGATGCTCCCTAAAGCGTCTCCCTCCCTCTGTTTTCTGCTTCTCTGCAAGTTTTGGAGTGGGAGGAAAACACTTGAAACGTGACATTTCCTGCAAACCCTTGTCCTGCAATCTGCATGAAAGCAGGGGGAGGGATGCTGCTGGTGAGCAGCAGCTGGGGTGGCTGGGGAAGCTGGTGGCTGGGCTGTACACACATGCAGGTGAGGATGCTCGGTCTGCCCTGCGCAGGCTGTGGTTGGGCCGCAGATGCAGCGCTGCGGTGCTTTCCCTGCAGCCACCATGATAAAGCAGGTCAGGCCTGGGCAGGGGGACTGTGGCAGCAGCACTGGGAATGGAATCAGCCAGTTTCCACCAGTGGAAAAAGAAAACCAACGCCGCACTCCCCAGAACTCCGTAAGGATCCAAGCCGCTGTGCGGAATGAGCTCCGGAGTCAGCCACCGCTTCCCAGGGCAGCAGAACCACCGCATCAGAGCCCCCCAGGGCCCATCCAGGCCGCTTGCCTGAGGGAACAAGCTGGCAGTTAGTTGGGTCCTGGTGGGTGAACCAACAGGAACAAGTAGTCCCAGGGGTGTTTGATACCAAAGGGCTTTTTCCTAGCTGAGGAGTTGCGTCACTGGGTGAAATCAGGCAGTGCAAGCCTCCTCACCAGCTGCATGTGAAGTAACTTGCAAGCAGGTTTTGGGGAGGTTTGGTTTAAAGTTATCCATGTGGCAAATTAAATGCCTCAAATCCTTGAGAGTTTGGTACCAAAACAGCACTCAGGCTTTTGGTGAACATGCCTGATGTCCTGCTAGGACAGAGCCCAGCAGATAAATGCTTTGGAACAGGAAAACGTTGCTATAGGCAAGCGGCACTAAGCTGGTTTACAGTTCCTTTGAGACATCACTCAATAATACCAGAGGGAGGGGGGAAATAGCTATTTTTAATGTGGGATAGCCAGGATTTGGAGTTTTTAGTCACACTCAGCATCAGTGACCCATGGCTGAGGTCCCCCAGGGTTTCCCTGCTCTCCCTGCTCAGGGTCTGCATCCCCTGAGCACCTCACCTCTTGGCTGTGGCTTTCTTGGGCAATCCAGGCACCACGGTTTGGAAGAGCTTCTGGAACCATTTTACCATGGAGCTGATACCATCCAGCAGCCCCCACAGCTTCCCCAGCCTGCAAACCCAAAATAAATAGCCTGAGTTTGATGACCACTCAGTGCAGCCAACAGGGGAGGGTGTTAATGGGAAATGCACGTTGTGATGCTCCTCATACCCAAGCAATCCTATGGTGTTCCTGTTACCCATAACCTCTCCCTGAGAGCTTGCCTTCAAGGAATACCAAACCCTCTTGTAGAGTAAGGGGATGCTGCTACACATGTTGATCCAGCAGATGTGCCTTGGTCCATAGAACAGAAGGGATTCACCGTCAGCCCACACTGCCCCAGAGGCTGCCCCATGTGTTTCCAGCAGCTGAAAGATGCTGCAGCCCATTGCACACTTCAATGCATGCTAATCCTGCACTGTGTCCCTGCAGCTATCTCAGCACTGCTGAACCCACGGCCACTCGTTCCTGTAGCACTTTCAGCTTCAATGCCTCTACCAAGATGTTCTTACCCCTTCCTGAAGAAAGCTGGCAGTCTGTATGGTTGCAACAGGACCTTTGACAGTGGATCCTGAAGTCCAGAGAGCTGCTCCTTCCGCCGCATACCCAAGCCTGTACCCACGGATGACAACACAGAAGCAAATAAAGACCAGGAATTCAAACTAACCCAGTAAATGCAATAATTCCTCTTGTCCAGCAGCTCTTGCTGCAGCTCAGCCTGTAGGTACTGAAGCCCAGGCTTGAATCCAGCTTGAGCTGCTCTTACAAAGCTTCTGTGTAAGAGCAGCTACTGCAGATACAGGAATATTTCCTATAATAACTAACTCAGTAATGTCTTTAAGGTAATGCTGCGCCTCTCAAAGACTGCACCAGTCCTCAGAGGCCCCGAAACCCAGGATGAGCACCCCGAATCTTCTACCTGGCAGGAAGCAAGGAGCTGGGCACTGTGTTTCCATTTTGCATAGGCCAGAGCACGTCCTTTTGGATGGGGCAAAGTCATTCTTCCCACATGAGCTGGTGAAGCGGAAATCCCCATTGCAGTAGTTAAAGCCAAAGGCATCTGTGGGACACGAAAGAGAGGGATGAGGTTTGCGTGTGTGTTGTGCATCTAGGCCAGCCTTCAGGTCCTGGTTATCACTTACTGTTCCTGTACAGGAATAGGGCAGTGTCCTGGTACCCTTGGGAGAAGATGCTTGTTGAAGACCTGCAAGCAGAAACACTTGAGGTCACTAAAGAGCTTTCCATCCAGGCACTGACAGGATCTGCCCAGCTGTGGAGGGTTGGGGTGGCGCAATTGAAAGGCAGCAAGCACAGGCTGGCTTCCAATAACCAAAGCTGTAGTCCTTTGCGCGTTATTAACCCAGGGTGGACCCCGTTCCAGGTTGGCCACCCGTCAGCAGTGCCCACCAAATAAATGCACTGCAAAACCAGTAGGTACTGCACCCTCCGTGTGAGATCTGATTGATTACGGATGGAGATGGAGCTGAACCTTAAAGCTTGGGAAGGCAGGTCCAGCACCAGTTTGTTTTAACCAAAACAAAGCTGCTGGCTTACCATGGTGCTGGGTGGAAAGAGAGCATAGCTAATCCTAGAGGTTTTCTATTTAGATCTGAATGCTGCCATTGAAGATCTGGAAGCAGTAGAAGATGGCAGGACAATCCCTTGGGCAGAGAGATCGGTTTCTCCTGTGAAATGGGACACTCGGCCCACCACAGGTTCCTCCAAGCTGGAACAGGCTGCAGACCAGTGAATCCTCCATCCACGTATCGCTGAGGGGAAGAGCAGAGGAGGCTTTGCTCTGGGGGTTGCTACGGTGTGTGTGGGAGTGAGGGCAGTGTCACTGAGGGGAAAGCAGGCAAAGGCAACACCTCCTGCCACGAACCCATCCCAGCATGTCCTCTCTCTTCCCATCTGCAAATACATCTCTTCCTACCCCTTGCTCTTCACCTTGGCCTCTGCCAGCTCTTTCTGCTGCCCTGCCTATGGCACCCAGCGGCTCCTCGCCCAGCTGCTGTGATCCACAGTGATTATTAGAACAGAAATAGAGTTATTTTGATTCACAAAGCTTTCTAAAGATGCTTTGACGGTCATTGGCCAACTCACACATCACTGAATTTAGAGTGTCCTATAGATTTCAAGTCCTGAGCTCAAGCAGTCAGGCTCCTGCATTTAATATTCCACCCAGCTATCATCAGGATGGGATGAAGAACAGGATAGAAGGCTTCATCATCCTCCATTAGCTAAGCAGCATCCTAGGCTGATATATCCCTCTCTGCTCAAGAGAACATAAACCCAAGAACATACTGCTGGGACAAGTTTTACATGCAATAGCACTCACCACACCTCGGTAGGATGGAGGGATGAAGCCACAGTAGATGGGAAGAAAGCAGCTGCAGAGGAGAGCCTGGGGGATGAGAGGGGTTGCAGAAGTAAATGGCCCTGTCAGACTTGTCCTGGACAAAAGCTGTTGACATGATGCCTGCAAAACCAGGCTTGACCTGGCTGTCGGTGCCACCTGGACTTTGCATTTGACTGTGACAAGAATAAAGGTGTTAATGAAGGGGAAACACCTCTCTTGGGAAGGGCAGAGCGCTTCAGTTTCTCATGTTTTGAGCTGCCAGCAACATTACAGGTGTATAATTCATATATCACTGTCCAAAAGTGCCCTTTGAAAGTGCGAAGGTGAAGCTTTGGGGTCATTTTTCATGTTTGAGGGGTTTGGGACAGCACCAAGACTTCCTCCTCCCAGTGCATTTTCATTCTGCTGGGGTTGTCCATGACAAAGCCACTGCTGGGCCATTCACAACCATTTTCTACCAATCTCATGACCTTGGAATAAGCATCCTATGCCCCTGGATTGACCTAGGGCAGGCACCAGAGGGTGAACTCCAACATATCCATGGACTTGCCATCCTCTACTGTCTCCCTGGGATGAGCAAGTCCATGACTTCATGGTCTGTTAGGGATTGACCCTGGCTTTCTTTTCTCCAGCAGCTCATTCACTGGTGAATCTGCTGCTTGTTTGGCACCACAGACACTTTGTCCAGCTTTTCCTTCGAGGGACGTGCTGAGGCAAGGAGGAAAATCACTGCCAATGGGACTTCCCTGAGGAAAGACCGGTCCAGAAAGCTGGGGGGTCATGTTAGCATTAACAGCTATGCAGACTCATCGGCACTTCCTAGAGCTGGCCAACACAGCTGCAGCCTTTTGAGGCTGGAAATAAACCTGCTTTCTGGATCTAACAGCATCTTCCACCCTCCCTCCAAGCCTCATGGAGCTCGCTGTGGTGCGACCATGACACCCTGACACTTTCCCATTTGGATGCAGTTAAAGTCGTCGATATCTGAGCACCTCCACCCCAAGCAGTAGGCAGAGATCTTCCTACAGCACCCAAGGAGGGTCCCTTTACCTGGATGAGCTCCTCTTTCGAGCTGAACTCCGAGGCCATGACGTTTTGGCCATCCACCACCCGCGTGAGGGAGATGTGCAGCCGCCCCGAAGCCAGTTGGTAGGAGTTCTCTGGTAGCATCCTCTGCAGAACAGCCTTGATATTTGCCAGCAAGCTGCACTTGGGAGAGAGGGGGCCCAGGATGGTTTCCCTGGCCTCCTTTGCCATGGCAAAGAAAAACTCCTTTAGGTCATCTAACACGGAGATTGGAGGGAAAGATAAGAGAGAAAGTCAGGAACGGCTGCCCAAACAGTTGTGAGTTTTATCCTATTTTAAACACTCCCCACAAATAAAGCCTTTTGCACGATACTGCTGCTACAGTGGGCGATGTTGTGGAGAAGAGAAAGGGGAGGATGTCCTCAGAGAGCAATGTATTGCTGAGCACAGGCTCAGTGGTGAAATCCCATCTGCACCAGAGGTGGTTGCTCAAGAAGAGCCTGGGCAGGGATTAGGGAAAGGCTCCAGAGAGCCCTGGGAAGAGGTAGGTGCACAACACATTCCTGCCTTCCCCCTCCACGTGGCAGTGCCAGCTCCACAGTGGGCTTCACATGGGCAGCTGGGACAACTCAAAGGTGAGGACAAGGGGCACACCACTGGTGACCTCCCAGCCAGTGTTAACAGTCATTACGTGTGTCTGCACATCCCAGAAGCTGGATTAAAGGAGCAGAGCTGCAGAGCCATGGCCAAGAGCTCAGGAGACACCAGGTTTGAAAGGCTGCATGATGATGGGGGGAAGAGGGGTGCAGCAAAGCCTGTGGCCAGCCTGGTCCTGGGGAGCTCACTTGGTGGAACTGTAGCAATAGGACACGGGGTGATGGGTTCAGACTGAAACAGAGGAGGTTCAGGTTGGATCTAAGGCAAAAGCTCCTCCCTGTGAGGGTGCAGAGGCGCTGGCACAGGGTGCCCAGAGAAGCTGTGGCTGCCCCATCCCTGGCAGTGCTCAAGGCCAGGTTGGACACAGGGGCTTGGAGCAAGCTGCTCCAGTGGAAGGGGTCCCTGCCTGTGGCAGGGTTGGAGCTGAATGATCTTAAGGTCCCTTCAACCCAACCCAGTCTGGGATTCTATGAGTGCCCCATGCTTGGCAGTTAAACTCTTGCAGATGAAACCTCATCAGGTTCCTCAGTGCTGCCAAGAGCCATTCTTGCACCTGGGTGGCCATGGCACAAAGCCATGGGTTTGTCTTTGTAGGGGCAAAGGTGTCCAGGCTGTCTCGTGAGACTGCTTTAAAAGCACAGACAGATTAGATGGAGTGTCCTCAAGTCAGCTGGAGCACCACAGGTATTAAGAGGGGTTATAAACATCTGAGCGGATGGTCAGGCCATGCGGGGTGATGATTAGTGCACGGTGGGTTTACACGGGGTCATCAGGGTGCTGAAAGTGCCAGAGACACCGCAGGCAGGTGATGCACCCGCCACCACTGCCTGGTGCTCTGCATCCTGGAACTGGGGAAGAACCTGGGGAAACTGCCCCCAGGCTGGTGGGCAGGAGGTGAGAGCCCCCCAGCTTTGGGGGCTTTGGCTCTGGACAGGGCTTCAACTCAGGCTGGGTGGAATGACCCTGGCATGTAATGCTGTGACCATCCCTGCCTGCAGCAGCTTGCCAGTGACAAGCAGGAGGTGACCTGTGGGGTGGCAGAGGACAGCCTGGCTTGGGGAGCAGAGAGACACTTACTCGGGCTGTGGTGCACACCATCAGGAGCCAAACATAACACCCTTTTCCCCCCCTTCCTCTCAATGGGAATTTGACAGACTTTGTGCCACACTCATTTTCCTTATTAGAAAGCAAACCAGAGTCACCACTGAACAAAATGTCTTTTCTTCTCCTGGGGAAGACGTTTTGAGCACAAGATCATCTCAGCTCCTCCAAGTAGACGGTGCCACCACCCCCAGTGAAGCAGATCCCCATTTCAGCACCAGTGCCCACAGAGAGAGCAGTTACCAAACTGATTCATACCTGGTGGAGACCCTAGCACCATCCATTTACACCGGGATGAGGAATCAGAGAGGACAGCTTTGGGGCCATTGCTGATTTGTAGACGGGTTCATCCCCATATATGCAGAAAGGTTCTTTTCTGCTTTGTCTAAATACATTTGCCAAAGTTTTGATTTCCTCTCTGCTTCCTCCATCATTATTTGGACCCTAAACCCCTAAATGTCTCCATTGCTTGACACAGGGCTTGGATCAGCTTTTGAAGACTTACGTCTTGTGTGCACTTGTTTACACATGGACACTAATTGGAAATATGGGAGAATGTGATTATTAAAAGTGGATTAACTGCTCTGAATTAATTCTACACATAGAACTTAATGACCTGGGGGGCTGTTTCCACATTGTCTGAAGAAGTTCAGAATAAAACCTCTTTTGCAGCAATAAGAGAAACCTCAGCCCCAGGCTGGACCAAGCACTGCTGTTCCCTGGGCATGTCATAGAATCATACGATCATGAAATGGTTTGGGTTGGAAGGGACCTTAAAGCTCATCCAGTTCCAACCCCTGCCATGGGCAGGGACCCCTTCCACTGGAGCAGCTTGCTCCAAGCCCCTGTGTCCAACCTGGCCTTGAGCACTGCCAGGGATGGGGCAGCCACAGCTTCTCTGGGCACCCTGTGCCAGCGCCTCAGCACCCTCACAGGGAAGAGCTTTTGCCTACAAGCTCATCTAATGTCCTGCTGATGAGCCCTTGATCTTTATCCCAAGGGAAAGGTGCTTGGCTATAGAGAAACTGGAATCATGCCTCATCCTCCCTTGTGCTGGGGAGGTCGAGTGGGCCAACCCAAAGCAACATGCAAACAAGGCTGTCAGTTCTATAGATACCTGTGTGACTACCACGTGTGTCCTTTTGTAGCTAAGGATGCCAAGGGACCTGACCCATAGGGGACAGAGGGGTTTTACATGGTTGTCCAGAGAAGCTGTGGCTGCCCCATCCCTGGCAGCGCTCAAGGCCAGGTTGGACACAGGGGCTTGGAGCAAGCTGCTCCAGTGGAAGGGGTCCCTGCCCGTGGCAGGGGTTGGAGCTGGAGGAGCTTTAAGGTCCCTTCCAATACAAGCTGATCCATGACTCTGTAATGTCCACCCACCACAGCCATGTGGACTTTTGGAACACGTCCCAGCACTCTTTAGACCTCACAGCAGAGGAAAAGATCTGCTCCTTCATCAGGAGAAGGGAAATGAGGCAATAAAATGCAGATGCATTCAGATTTACCCATGCAGTATCTGCCTGTCCATCTGAGACAGATAACATTCAGACTGTAATAACCAGATTCTTCAGCTTGCACCACCCAAAATTGCTCCAGGGTGGCTGCTAAACATATGCAGGTTTCTTTTATGCCTTACAAGCAGCATGAGTCCCACCAGTACCACATCCCCAGTGCTGCTGCTGTTTTAAGGCTTCTCTGTTTCTATTCTGAAATAAACCCCCCATAATAAGGAAACCTGGAGAATCACCCTCTTACCGAGGCCGATGCCGCACACCACGGCCGCGGCGATGAGCGAGCCGGCGGATGATCCATAGACCTTGCCAGCGGATTTGAGGAGTTCGGGAGCCAGCTCCAGGAGGGACTGAACCACCCCAACCTGGTACAGGGCGAGAAAGCCACTGCCTGAAAAGGAGAGTGAGAAAGGGGTTCTCAAACCCCGGAGATCCTCCTCAGCCATCTCGAGAACCCGTTTCAGGCTGTCCTTTATCACCAGCTGAACCTCAAGCTGTCTTCTCCTCTGCTTCCTCCAGACTCATCTCTGGCCGCACAGGAGACCGTGAGATGGATTTTCTACCTCCCTCTATGACAGCTCCCCGAGGCGTTTAGATCCGTGAGCTATTTTAATTGCTGCCTGTGCTAAAAACAGACGTTTTCCCCTGATCAAAACAGCTCTTGTAATCCTCGGCCACAGCCAGATCATGTGCTCAGGGCTGACTCAAGGCTCCCCTGTTCTATCAAGCAATCTGGAGCACCCCAGGAGCCCTCCTGGAGATGGGCCCCACATTCTTGTGCCCATCACATTTGGAAACATCCATGTAAAATTGTCTCTTTTGCTTTGTGCTTCCTACATGCAGGGTGTTTTCCTATATAGGATTCTCCATCAATCCCAGCTCAGGCACAGCTCAGCACTGAGTGAGTAAAGGCTTGTATAAGACACTTAAAGCCAGAGGGTGTTACACAAGGGGTGGATGCAGGGTGTTGAGTTGGGTTAGGTTTAGTTAGCATTGCTTAGAATTGCTCCCTATTGGCATGGTTTTGTCTTTGCCTGACTCTTGAATCTCCTTTGGGAGGGAAAAACAAGGAGCTGGATTTGCTTTTCTCTGCCCCCTCAGCACTCTGTAAAGCCCCAGGAGGATGCACCCTGTTCCCCAGATCTGGGGTTACTGAGCCAAACTCAAGCTGCCTTTGGGCTTTCTTCATTGCCTGGGTGGTAGTTGAAAAAACAGGGAGAAATTCAGTAGATTTCAGTATCTGTTCAGCCTCAGAACCCCGATGCTGCTGCCAGCGAGCAGGATGCAAACTGCGTTTTAAACAGATGAATTTAACAAATATTACTCAATATTACGTTGCTTCTGTTGTCCAGATCCATGGAGTGTGCACACTACTGTGTGACTATTACATATGTTACCTTCAAGGCTGTGTATATATACGTACACGAGAGGGGCATGTGTACAATAAGAGGCTGAAGGAGAGAGCTCTCCTTGCCCATGTTGGTGCACCAGCATGGACAGGACAATGCAAGAACACAAAGGATGGTCCCAGCATCCTCGTGCAACCTCTGCAATGCTGTTTCACCCCGTTTTCATTTTTCCTTGGCCATCACTGAGTCCCCACCATAACATTTGTATTCACTGTGATAACCAGGTGCAGAGACAGTGTCCCTGGGATGAAGATTTCAGCCCCTCATTAGGTCAGTCTCCCATGAGTTCCAGCCTTTCCAGTGATCTCTGAGCTGTGCTCTGTGTGATTCATGCCACTGTCTTTTCCATCCCTTGGGAAAGCAAATTCCTTCATTTAAAGGACTTCCTTCCTGCACTGGCAAACATGAAGGGCAAAAGGAATCATTGGGTAATATGGTTTAGAGCGAGGTGTCCGTGCCCATGGCAGGGGGGTTGATGATCTTAAGGTCCTTTCCAACCCTAACTATTCTATGATTCTATGATCTCTCACTGTGATTGATCCCTATTGGAAATGCTTGAGAGCTGACACACCGGGAAGAATTGTTTCCATGTTCTCTATTCATTAACCCAGCCAGTTATGTGCATCAGAAGCTAGGGAATTCAGCAGGCACTGCATGGACTTGCACCTCCTTGACCAAGCTCAGCCCCAGAGGATGCCAAGCTTTGGGAAAAGTGTAATCAATCCCATAGGACCTGCAGGAACACATTCACAGGATCCCAGACTGGTTTGGGTTGGAAGGAACCTTAAAGCTCATCCAGCTCCAACCCCTGCCATGGGCAAGGACTAGGTTGCTCCAAGCCCCATCCAACCTGGCCTTGAACCTGTCCGGTTCCTCCATCCAGGGCACAGTGCAAGGAGCTGAGCTTGCTACAAAATGTGATGCTCCAGGATCACGTTGTGAGTGCAAACCCCAAGGGAGCTGAGCCAGGACATATTCTGACCCCACTCTCCTTTGGGCACCTGGTGATAGTTTCTGTCCTTGCCACTGCCACAAAGTAAAGTATTAAATGGGATTCTCCATTTCCAGAGCCAGATAATGAAGGATGATGTGGTGGACACCAAGAAGCTGTTATCCCTGCAGGAAGACAAGTGGGAGATGCATGGTGAATGCAAGAAGGTCCCCAACAAGGAGGCAGCTCAGCCCTATGCCGAGGCAGGGCCAGCCCTGGGGAGGGGCAGGGAGGCAAGGCAGGATGCACAGGGAAGGACAGGAGACACTGACCTGGCAAGGGGCAAGCAGCACCTCAAAAGCAGCAGCTCTAACCTGCAAGGACTTTACAGTATGCTTGGATACCCTGGAATCCCCTTGGGACCCTCAAAGCCCAAGAACAGCCAGGCTTCAGAGGCATACTTTGGGGTTCTTCATCTGAGGGGGTGCACAGCCACATCACAGCACTGAATCATAGACTCATGGAATCAGCCAGGCTGGGAAAGCCCTTTCAGCTCATCAAGTCCAACCATTCCCAGCACTGCCAAGGCCACCCCTAACCCATGCCACTGAGGCCTCGTCTCCACCCTGTGTGAACACTTGCAGGGGCGGTGCCTGCAGCCCTGCCCTGGGCAGCCTGTTCCAATGCCTGAGCACCCTCTGGGGCAGGAATTGTTCCTCAGCTCCATCTAAACCTGCCCTGGTGCAGCTTGAGGCCGGTTCCTCTTGTCCCATCCCTTGTTCCTTGGGAGCAGAGCCCAGCCCCTCCTGGCTCCATCCTCCTCTCAGGCAGTTGGAGGCAGCCATCAGGTCCCCCCTGAGCCTTCTCTTCTCCACACTGAACCCCCCAGGTCCCTCAGCCCTTCCCCATCACACTGTGCTCCAGGCCCTGCCCCAGCTCTGCTGCCCTTCTCTGGCCCCGCTCCAGCCCCTCAAGGTCTCTCCTGTAGTGAGGGGCCCAGAGCTGAACACAGGATTCGAGGTGCGGCCTCACCAGTGCCCAGTGCGGGGGCTCAATCCCTGCCCTTGCCCTGCTGCCGCACTGGTGCTGGTACAGGCCAGGATGCTGGGGGCTGCTTGGCTGCCTGGGCACAAGCTGCTCCTGTTCAGCTCCATCACTCAGCACACAAATCACCCTGTCCCGTGATGAACTACAGTGGCTCATCAAGGCAGGGAGGGGGCATAAAAACTGTGCCCTGCACCCTCGCGTGCTGCAGCATCCCAGGAGGCAGCATCCTCCCTGGTCCGGTGCCACGCTCCCGTGAGATGAAACCTTGTCATCATCCTCTCAGAGACAGGGAATTGGGCATTAACTGGCTCATTAAGGGCTGGTTTCTCAGCCACCCTCCCCCTCCTGGCACTCAGGAAAATGGGATTAAGAGGGACTAACTACACAAGGTCCCAGAAGCAGCCTGAGATGCTTTCAGGAGACCCCCCTGGGTCCCATTGGGCAGCAGGCAGGCAGGGGGCTGTGTGGGGTGTGAGGCTGTGTTTTCCCCAGCAGGATCAGTGCCCAGATGGCCGGTGTCCGTGATCCCATGGATTGTCAGGTGAAGAGATTGTCTTAGTGGTTTGAAGCCACAGAGGAGAGGATGAAGGTAATACCATGAGCTGGAAACCAATCAAACCCCTGGGGCTAATAATTTGCCCTTCTTTAATACACTTTTAATATCTGCAGTGGGCACAGGCAGTCATGGTTCTCAATTTTATGATCAAGACATTAAACCAAGATGCTGGAGCTGCCCACAAGAAGGGACCTGGGCTCCCAGATCCAACAGCCCTGGGGTGCTGCACTAACAGCAGCTCCTGAGGACAGCCCACCAGGCTGGAGGAGCATCCCGGGTTTGGGCTGGGTTATCTGGGAGCAGGAGCACTGTGTGCAAGGGGCTGTGCAGGTTTTGTTCCTTATTTCCTCAGCACCACTGACCTGATGGGTGGGAAAAGGTTCAGTGACCACAGAGGGATATTTGTTTCAGACCTGATAGGAGGAAGGGAATGGCAGAGATGAGATGTTTTCTTCACTGGTGTTTTCCTGCATGCCAAGGGCAGACGATGTCCTCCAGGAAGTCATCAAGGAGACAAAACCCTTTTCTGCTCCATGCAAACCCCAGCCCACAAGTGGCACCACAAGAGCTCAGATGCAAAACAAACAGGAGCATCTCATGATCCTCCTGCCAGGTCCCCACCACATCCCAAGCACCAGCCCCGGTCACAGCCCCAGCAGTGTCCTGGGCTCCAGGCAGGAGACAGGAAGATGGTGATGGTTGCAAACAGGCGAGAGCAGTTTTGTTTTCTCCTGCAGTAAAAGTCTCCCTCTTTGGTTCCCAGCCAAAAGGAAACAGTGCTGGCACTGTGCTTGGTGCTGGCATCACTGGGAGGGACCCAGGAGTGGGATCTGATGGTTTCCACAGACCTAAGTACCCTGGGTTAGATCAGTTGGAGCTTTTCCAACGTGTCCCCCCTCCTTGGGGCTTTTCAGTGATTCAACTCTTTGTCTCTACCAAACATTTCCTTAAAGGCTTTGCAAATGGGGATGTTGATCTGTGTGGAGAAGGGCTACTTCCTTCCTTTGAGGTGTCTGCTTCCCCATTTTGCTTTACTTAGGGTTTTAAAAGGACCGAGAAGTTCAGGTTCCCCAGAAGAGGAAGCACTGGGCAACCACAGGCTGTCACTGGTGGCCCACGTTGCACTATCACCCCATGCCCGGACTGAATCAGACCAACAGGTTGATTCACCACTATCATCTCCTCCAACCCACTAGATCATCCCACCTCTCCTGCACTGCAAGCCTCCAGATTTTGACCCCTTCATCCCAGGCTGAGTCCAACCCTAGCAAAAGAGATGCTCCTGTTGGTGCCACCGCACTGAGCACTGCCAATCCCCCCCAGCCCCGAGCCGCCTTAATCCATGGCCTGGCTTAGTGGTCTGGGCAGAGATTAGTTGGGAACACTCCCAGAGATTAGGCTTTAATCACTTTGACATTTCACATCTTCTTAGACCTTGTAGGTGAGACAGCAACAGCCGTAAATCCCCTCAGTCCTGGAGGGAGCCAAAGGGAGGGCTGCTCCTGCACCACGCGGGAGCAAGCTTTGCGCAGTTCTTGGTGTCACATCAAGCTGCTTTGGGGAATAAAGCTCCTGCTGCTGGGAAGGGAATGGCTATAAATAGTAAAAAGTGGCAGGATCAGACCACGTATCTGCTGTAAGACTCCATTTGTGCCACTGGAAGGAGCAGCTGTAGCAAAACAAACATTATCCCATGTACAATGACTGTACACATCACCCATTAATCAAGCCTGGCTATAATTTAGGGATCATTTTATTGGAGTTTTAGGGTTTCTTTCCTGAACTGGAAGCTGGGCTGAGAGCAGAAGCTACAAAAATTACATTGTACATTCCCAGATACATATAAAAAAGTAGGCAAATAAATACACATAAACAGACACAAACCAACCAAGAGGTTCAACACACGCGCTTGGTGACAGCTACAATGCAAATACAGGGTGAAATTTGGGTTTTGCTT